TCTGCTGCCTGCACCCAATCCCAGCCACTCTAAATCTTCGAGTCTAGTACCTGTGAAAGATAAGGAGCTGGACATAGACCTGCACAAAGAAACCCCCCAGGGACGCAGCGGCGACGCATACTCTAAATGCTACATCCAGATCGGAGGGATGACCTGCGCTTCCTGTGTGGCAAACATTGAGCGAAACCTCAAGAATGAAACTGGTATAAAAGCACACAAATATTTAAGATTTATTTCTATCTCTTTAAATGGGAGTTAAAGAATTTTCTTTAATGTTGTGCAGGTATCTACTCGGTTTTGGTAGCACTAATGGCCAGTAAAGCAGAGGTGCGTTATAACCCTGAACTCATGGACCCTGTGAAGATAGCTGAGTGTGTGAAAGAGCTGGGCTTCACCGCCTCTGTGATGGAGAACTATGAAGGTTCAGATGGAAACCTAGAACTAGTGGTGAGTCAACGAAAGGTTGCATTGACATTATAATTGTGTTGTATTAAGACAACAAGATACATAATTTAGTTCTACAATTTGAAATCCATAAAATCAAAATTTCTATCACTAGTTGAGGCGACTGGAACACATGTGACCTCCCTTTCAGCAGATGAAATTGAAGTAATGAGATGGAAATATATCCTCACTTCATACCCTCTTTAATATATTTTTCTCTATTTGACTGCTCCTTTTCAGCTCAGGGGAATGACGTGCGCCTCTTGTGTTCACAAAATCGAATCCAGCCTGATGAGAGAAAAGGGGATTATATATGCCTCTGTTGCCTTGGCAACCAACAAGGCACACATTAAGTACGACTCTGAAATTATTGGGCCGCGAGACATCATCAAGCTGATTGAGGTATGATTCCCATCCCTGTCTGTTATTTATGCATTTGTTCAGTTATTTTTAGCAGGGTTTCTTTTTGCATGTTAACACCAACTGATAATCAAGCGAAGTGGAAAATAAAATTATTAATAAAATGGATAATAAAATTTAAAAATAATTTTCCATATATGAAGTGCTTAACCATGTGTTTGATCAGTAGTTACTGTTATTTGCAGAATCTGGGTTATGAAGCATCTTTGGTAAAGAGAGACCGCAGTGCCAGTCACCTGGACCACAGCAAAGAGATACGACAGTAAGTAGCACTTTGTTTTTGTACAGCAAGAACACACAAGACGTTTTTGCTTGTTTATCAATTTGAATCCATCTCTCCCAACTTTAACTTTGTTCATGTGACAAGTGTGTTGTAGGATGTAGCTTGAATTGCTAATGATCCAAATGTTTTTTTGTAATGATATCTCAACAATTCATCTTATTTTTTCATAGAAAACACTTCTGTTTCTAGGTTGCTGAAAATGCTTGTACAGAGGTGGAAACACCTCCGGCTTAACATAACTCGATGGATTCTGTTATTACAACACCCAGCTTCTCTAGAACTACAAACTACATATAGCTTGGACCATTAGTGCTAGGGAAAATATAAATTAAGCCTTGTTTTGGAGTTTTTAGAGAGCTTCATGTCAACATAGAGAACTCTAGTTGGGGGATAATGTTGATACAACATATGATACTGACATGATTATACTGTATGTGGGAATAAGATGGGAATGAAGGTCATAAGGGGCATGGTTATGATTGCATTTTTGTTATCTACTATTTATGTAATACTTTATATATAGGAATACTGGCTCAAATGTGTATACATATGACCCAGGATATGTTCAACATTATATACAGTATATGCAGTATTTTTGGGTCAATGTTGGTTCTAGTGATGAAGAATCTCCATGTACATTTTCTTTGCCCCTCTGTAAGGAGAATAAAATCCTAGATCACACAATAAAATAAATAAAAATTCTAACCCACAACTGTCTCCACTGTCTAAGGTGGAGGAAATCTTTCCTGGTGAGCTTGTTTTTCTGCGTGCCTGTGATGGGCATGATGACCTACATGATTATTATGGACCACCAGATGAGTGTTTCACATCAGCACAACACCACAGTGGAGGACCGCAACCAGTACCACTCCACCATGTTCCTGGAGAGACAGCTGCTTCCAGGCCTCTCCATTATGAACCTTCTCTCCTTCCTCTTTTGTGTGCCTGTACAGGTAATTCAGAGAGATTAGCTGCCCTTCCAGGAAACATGATATGGAAATTTCAACAAACACAAAAGAGGCACTCTTTCAGGAGAGAGGGAGAAATGTTTGTGGTTTAGTGAATACAAGCTTTTCTGTTTTTCCTCTCTTTAGTTTATCGGAGGTCGCTACTTCTACATTCAAGCCTACAAAGCACTCATACACCGATCTGCCAACATGGATGTACTAATAGTCCTGGCTACCACCATAGCCTTCACCTACTCAATGATTGTCCTAATAGTGGCCATGGTGGAGAAGGCAAAAGTCAACCCCATCACCTTCTTCGACACACCGCCCATGCTCTTTGTCTTCATCTCCCTGGGACGCTGGCTGGAACAGATAGCCAAGGTTGAGCTCATTATTGTTTATATCGATGACTTGTAATGTTTATTTGTGTATAACTTTTACCATAACACTTCTGCTGTCTACAAGAAGGGTCTTCAGAGGCTTCATTTTGTGCGCAGACTGAATACCTTTATTGTGGACAAAACTTTAATGACTCTATTTTATAAATCTTTTATTGAATCAGTTTTAACTTTTTATTGCATAACTTGGTATGGGAATCTTGCAAAGCAAAAATAAATTAACTAACTAACAGATACAAATTTTCCTTTGCAACCACGGCAATTAATGCCCTAAATTTGCACTGAGCCTGAGCTGCTGCTCTGAAGCACCCTACAGTGTTGAGGCTACCATCTCAACTTTTTGAGGACTTTTAGATGAACAAAATTTTTTTATAAATGGTAACAGCTGTTCTTATCTTTGTTAATGTCTCATGTATGTTTGTTTTAACCCTATTGCAATCAGATTTCCCCTGGTGGGACAATAAAGATTGAATTGATGTTGAAATGCAGCACCTCAGTTAAATTTATTAATCACTTGGAAATTGTTTTGTGTGCCGCCTTCTTTCATCCAGAGCAAGACATCTGAGGCTTTGTCCAAGCTGATGTCTCTACAAGCAACTGAGGCCACGGTGGTCACTCTGAGCAGTGACAAGTCTATTCTCAGGTACTCAGTGCTTACAAGAACCGTTCATATATTTAGTTGGTTTTAGCTTACAACATATCAAATATTTGCAGTTGAAATGTGAGTAGAAGGGACTTTCCACAGTAAGAAGAGGACAAATATTTTTCTTGGTTAAAACTGGGTTTCAGATTTAATCTCATTTTGGACTTTAGATGACTTGCTTTATTGAACAATATAATTACAACAATAGTGTATTAATAGTAACAGTCTAGCATTGTATTGGCAGTTTATTGTGTACAACATTTACATTAGTTTGAAATCCATGTGTGTTCCAGTGAGGAGCAGGTCGATGTGGAGCTGGTGCAGAGGGGTGATGTGGTGAAAGTTGTTCCTGGAGGGAAGTTTCCAGTAGATGGGAGGGTCATTGAGGGACACTCCATGGCCGACGAGTCTCTCATCACAGGTTGGTGACAGTGAGTAAAGGACCATGTATCTATTAGTATGGATTAGGGGCTCGATATCAGTATTGGTGGCATTTATATGCTAAAAGCCAACGCACGAGATCTGATTTGCACACACTCCTGCTTCTGCTGTCAATTTGCAATGAACACAATAAATGTACACTGACAATTTGCAGATCTAAAGAGAGGATGTGATAATCTAAAAATGTTACTAGCAAACACAAATTGATGTAAATTGATTACGTCAATTAATACTCAAAATATACTCTTTGTTCAATAATTTCTATAATGTTTATCATTGCATTCCGCATTAGATTATTCATGGTTAAAATGTACAGTTTTAAGTGTCCTGTATTGGGCTGTCTACTGTTGCAATATTAAGACCCTTAACCCCAACAGTTATTAGCCTCAATATGAGTCGTTTGTTCTGCCACAACACCAGTATCTTCTGTTTTCTGCTGCCTGGGACTGTTTTTTTTTCTGACCAGTGGCTTTGCGGCTGCAGGTGAGGCCATGCCAGTGACTAAGAAGCTTGGAAGCTCTGTGATCGCGGGCTCCATTAACCAGAATGGCTCTCTGCTCATCAGTGCAACACATGTTGGCATGGACACCACGCTGTCTCAGATTGTCAAACTAGTGGAGGAGGCTCAGACTTCAAAGGTGAATTGTTTGGTTTAAGATCTGCACTGTTTCTTCCTGTTTTGGTGGTAATTGTGCAGGTGTTTCATTTCTGTCATTTAATTTTTAGGCTCCCATCCAGCAGTATGCGGATAAGATCAGTGGCTACTTTGTACCCTTTATTGTTGCCGTATCTGTCCTTACGCTGTTCGCCTGGATCGCCATTGGGTTTTTAGACTTCTCTCTAGTGGAAAAGTACTTTCCTGTGAGTCTTCTTTTCAATCTCGCTATCTGACTGTATCAAGCTCCTCAGTATAGTATCAGGAAATTCATTCCTCTAATTAAAATAATTATTATATTTTATCATTGTATATAATTAATGTCTAAGTATCACTGCATCAAATATTTTTACCATATTATTTAATTTTAAAAGGGATTGTAATTCATATAAAAGAAAAGCTAACAACTTTTATTACCCATTTGCAGGGTTACGACAAGAGCATTTCCAGGGTCGAGGCAGTGATCCGGTTCGCCTTCCAGGCCTCCATCACAGTATTATGCATCGCCTGTCCCTGTTCCCTTGGCTTGGCAACCCCGACAGCTGTCATGGTTGGCACAGGGGTTGGAGCCCAAAATGGCATCCTAATAAAGGGAGGAGAGCCACTTGAGATGGCACATAAGGTGCGTTAATTATGATATTCTGACACCCCTATGTAGTCAGCCAATGATGTAACCTGTGAATTTAAACACGTTGCTTCTGGTTTCCTGGGTTACAGTACCACAATAATGTAGATATAACTGTGATTAATAACGTAAAAACACTTTAAATTCAGCCTGATGGTATTTCTTTTTTTATTCTTATCGTATCTCGTTTTATGACCAGGTCCAGTCGGTGGTGTTTGATAAGACTGGAACCATCACATATGGTGCCCCGAAGGTTATCCAAGTCAAGATCGTTGTGGAAGGGAACAAGATGCCTCGTTCACGACTGCTGGCCATCGTGGGTACAGCTGAAAACAACAGTGAACACCCTCTGGGAGCAGCTGTCACCAAATATTGCAAACAGGTTGGTCTACCTCACATTTAACCCCCACATGGCCTCCAACAAATCCTTGTCTCAGATCACCAGTCCACCATTTTATCTCCGTTGACATCCATTACTATCTGTGTGCAGGAGCTTGGCACAGAGGCTCTGGGCACATGCACAGACTTTCAGGCAGTGCCCGGCTGTGGCATCCGATGTCAGGTCAGCAACACAGAGACCCTGCTGAGAGAGGGGGACAGCGACAGTGAGGATAACAACCAGCGCAACAATGTACTCGTGCAGATCAGTGACACTCGGATGTCCACCAGCTCCCATCCACTCATCATGGACCCACAGCCACTAAGTATGTTGGGAAACGCAGTCGCAGTAAATGTCATTCACTTTTATGTTTCCTTTGCTGTTGTCTAACCCAAGTAATCCCTCTGTGTGTAGGCCTTGCCCAGACATCCACCTATGTTGTCCTGATTGGCAATAGAGAGTGGATGAGGCGAAACTGCCTGCAGATCAGACCAGATATAGACGATGCTATGATGGAGCATGAGCGCAGAGGACGCACTGCTGTCCTGGTAGCTGTAAACAGTGAGTTTAACATGAAATCTAGTCTGTTTGCCATCATTTCCTTACCGACTGATGAGGGTTTTGTTCTTGCTTAAAACTTAGGTAGAGAAAATACTTACGTAGTCTTATTTTCATTTGTGCGTAGATCTGCTGTGTGCGATGATAGCCATAGCGGACACAGTGAAACCAGAGGCTGAGCTGGCAGTACGCACTCTGACCAACATGGGTCTGGAAGTTGTGCTGATGACCGGAGACAACAGCAAGACGGCACGAGCCATTGCTGCTCAGGTACGGACAGGGTTTGGATATAGAGCTGGGTGAAATGACCAGATATGAAACGAAAATTTACATCATGATTATTGTGGCCAAAGTGATCACGGTTATCAGTATTATCGCGGTAGTGGTAAAATGTGCTGAAAATGTTCAAAAAGCTCTGAATCACACACTCAAACCATTTCACCAAATTTTAAATTGAAATGACACAAATAAAATTAGCAACTTTCTGTTTGCATGAACAGAACATGAAAACATGAAAACCACATCAAAGAAAGAAAGTATGACCCCATGCACAATTGACATAAATACAAATAAGTTTTAAGCAGACAGTGATACTAACTGCAATTACCCCTTGCACAATTTTACATCAATATAGAGGAGTCTTGTAGGAGTCGGCAGTATTTCTCCTGTTGAAAGAGTTTTATAACCAATTAGACCACTGCCAGATTTTTAACAAGATATGTTGGTTGTAGGGATGGGTATCAAGTAGAGATACCTTTTAAGGTATCGACCGAAACAGCCCAGTATCGAGTAGTATCGAAACGTCAAACCAGTACCTCATTCGATCCTTTTTGTAAACCGATCACGGCAAAAAATTATTATTTGTATGAAATTGCTTACAGCCAAACACGCTAGCAACACACTGAAAGAAAGAGAAGAGCACTGCTCTTTTTTTTCCCTTATGTGTCTGCACCCGGTTGTAAGTCCATGTAAGATTTTAGCAGCCCCTTCACCTTCAGCTGTGGTCTCAGGCATGTTCATCACTGTTGCAAGTTCATCACCACAAGCTTTGCTTTCCATTGGTTTCATCTTCTGGAATCATTTAACACTGCTCTGTACAAGGTATTGAATGAAGTACTCTAGGGTTGAACGATTTATCTAATTAGGGCCCGAGCACGAACCGTGCGAGGTCCCTATTGAAATTGTAAAGATTTTTCTTTTTTTTTTTTCTGCAAAGTAAGCTCAATTTTGGGGGCCTAAACATACTCAAACTCACCAAACTTTGCACACATGTCAGAAGTGGTGAAAAATTTTGTATTTTATGGGTGTCGCGCATGGGCGTGGCAAAATGACTCGGGATTTAGTCGGATCGACTTCAGATTTCTGATGTGCCTTCTAAAGGCATTGACGATGAAAAGTTGTGCTATTTGTGAGTTTCCGTCAATGGGCGTGTCCGTGGCGTGGCGTCAAAGATCAACTCTTCGGCCACTAAATTTGAAGTGTTGTCACCCAATCAGTACAGAAGAAGAACAGACCACACTAATTCAGCACTGATCTACTTTACTGTGATCGTAGCCACCTAAAGGCAGAAAGTAACCACAGACAAGCATGAAAAACTCAACACAAAAGTCCCAGACTGATCAAGTAAATTGACTACATTTACTAAAAATATTTAGCTACTCTAGGTTATAGCTTGTAACATCTATTGATTGATGATTTTAGATCAAATTTGACATAAATAATTAATTTGCTTTTTATTTATCATCACTGTCAGATTAAAGTATCTCCTAAAATAGAACATACAAACACAAAGAAAGTAAGAAATCACCATAAGTGGAACAACTATCTTTACATGGTCATCAGTGAACAGTTTAAGCCTCATTTGTCTTTTTATGAGCCCTTCAGTCTGTGCAGTATTGATAGCGAGCCTACCCTTGTTTCTACAAAGCTTTGTAGAGCTTTTTACAGCGTGTCGTTTTTCGCGACGTTTTTATACACAAAACGCCGTTTTAAACGCCGTTTTGTTAGCAAAATATGCCACAAGAGTGGCGTTTTTTTGGCACTAATGGCTTGCCATAGATCCAGAATATGCAACGCGGCCGCCTCACACCCGGACGCGCTACAAGTGCGAGGGCCTGCTCAATGCTGCTTGCAGCTTTAATTGAGATTTTTTTTTACTAATATTGCGATTTAATATGCGATTCATTTTTAAGCTCTTTACCTTCTGTATTATTCAAAACGGACAAGCAGCGGACATCATTATGACCACCACAATATTAAACATACACTGTTCTTTCTTGTAGGCCAAGCCTGTGTTATGATGAAATTAGGTGATGCATGTGTTGCATCAAATTATAATAATATGAGAAAGACAATGACAAGTCATAGCATTAAATAATACGATACACCAGTGTATTAAACAGTAAGTTCTCAATACAAAGAGTCTATCTCTCATCAAAAACCCCTTTTCTATGTCCCAGTAAACAAACTCAGAAAAACTCAGTCTGAGGTTCAATTCAAAACAAAGTGACGCCTCTCATGTTTAATAGACAAGCTTAGTAATTCTCTGACAACACCGGAGTTCCTCCACTCCTCTCCCGCAGCCTGCGCTGTAACAAGGCTGTAACACGGGACAGACTGCGCCTCTTTCGGACTTGTGAGTTTGGTTTGAAAGGCCGTGTTTGAAACAGATATTTCCTGAGCTTACTGGTGGCTGTGTGTGTGACACAGGCGCCGATCGCCACAATACGCTTACCTTACTACACACGTCTTTCTGTTGTTCAACCACTACTAGGGCTGAAAAAATCGATTAATAAAATGCATTGCACAAATTCTTTGCATCAGTGCTTTGTTTAATCCATATAACTATACAGCACAGTGTTTCGCAGGGACATTTATTACTGTGGCACATCGCGCTTACGCTGTGAACACGACGTGATTATAATGGAGCTGTTGCAAAGTGGAGGAAGAGAGAGAAAATAGCGAGGGACAAAGGAGAAAGTGTCCAAAGCATGGGATTAGTTCAAGCTAAAGGAAACAACAACTCTGTAATGTTACCATAAAAAAAGAAACTTATGTTGCCTCGGCAACAGCACAATGGCACCTGATCAGAAAGCCCCGGTGTTCTGCCAGCGGACCACAGCCAAGGTAACCGTAACAGCAACTTTAGCATTTAACTGAAATCATGATTGATTGTTGAGTTGAAGGGGCGTTTGTTGTTCTCCTTTTTGGGCCGTGAGTTGTAACCTCACAGTCATGAGTTAACTCATGCCGCTGCCGCCAAGCAAAAGTACTTCTTAAACGAGGCATCGATGAATCGTTGAAATAATCTATAGAAGCTTTGAGTATTAAAATCATCGTTAGCTACAGCCCTAAGTCCACCAATTTACCCGTGGGTGGCAGGTGCTACTTTCATTCCCTGTGTGAGACTAAAGTTTCTGTAGTGTCAGCCTCTGTCAAGCTTAAGGCCATTGTACATCAACAAGTTAAGGTACAGCGTAACGTGTGCAGACTGCTTTAGTCTCGCATGTCATGTGACCAGAGTGTAATTGCAGCCTTTGCAATTAGAAAATCTGACTTTAACATATTACGATAATATCGCAAATGCAATTAATCGTCCAGCCCTAAAGTACTCTATTGGTATCAGAATCACTACGTAATGTGTATAATGAGCAAATGGTCTGCAGGCACATGATGCATACAGCAGCAGAACCAACGTGTAGTGTTTTTAGAAGAGTAGGTAACACTGAGCATCAGTTTACAAGCTGTTAGCAAGTTAAACCATGACATGTTCCCTCATTCCGAAGTCCACACATCATGCATTGAGCTAAAAGTTAACTTACCAACCATTCATTCATTGGTTGGGGGTATGAAGATAACTCTAAGATTGTAGTGTTGCCTCCTTTCACAGCGATTCAAGGTTCCCTCAGCACTTCTATAGGAAAAAAAGAAAAATTCAACCACAGTCATCTGGAAGCTGAAAAATCTGTGGAGCGGTGTCACTGCGTTCAGCCGCCGTGTGTTCATGACGTTGCATTCTGCATATGCGCGCCTGTGTCTGGGTGACATGATGCTGGACAGTAGCCTGTTTACCATGATTTGGCGCGGTAATCGAACTCTGTTATGATAATTCAAATTTGTGACAGTCATACTAACCGTCTGGAATTCTACTGTTTCATCCCTACATATGACTAAGGTCAGTTTTTTGTTGAATATTTTTGATTCAGTTTCTACATATTGTATTAAGTGAAAATCTGTGCTTTCATACAAACATACATCGGTTTGAGAAGAAAGCCTTAGTGATATAATACTAAAATGTTGCCTTTTAAAAAAACAAAAAAGGTAACACATTATTATAACTGTAACCAAATTATTATGTAGTAAAAAAACTTTTAGTATTACTCAGAAATATATAAAATATATTTTTTAGCCATATCGCCCAGGTCTACTATTCTGTATTGTGGCTTGTGTGTTTCTGAGCCAGTCAGTCTCTCTGCCTCTCCCGCAGGTGGGCATCAGGAAGGTGTTTGCTGAGGTGCTGCCCTCCCACAAGGTGGCAAAGGTGGAACAGCTGCAGCAGGCAGGAAAGAGAGTAGCCATGGTGGGTGATGGTGTCAACGACTCACCCGCTCTGGCCATGGCTGACGTGGGCATCGCCATTGGAACTGGGACAGATGTGGCCATAGAGGCAGCAGATGTGGTGTTGATCAGGGTGAGAATCTGAGCTGAGAGGATTTTTTTTAAAGTCTGTCATGATTTTATGTCTCTGGTCTACAGATCAGCTGTTTAATAAAATGAAAATGTCAATTTTTTATCACTAAGCACAATTTATCTGATATTTCTGCCCTTTCAATGACCCTCTTTGCCTCGTCTACAGAATGACCTCCTGGATGTGGTGGCCAGCATTGACCTCTCTAAGAAGACCGTCAAGAGGATCAGGATTAACTTTGTATTTGCTCTCATCTACAACCTGGTTGGCATTCCTATCGCTGCTGGTAGGTGACTGCAAAAGATGACAAGATTTATTTAAATTATGACACTGTGATCATTGCAGTAATATCGGACACAGCAGTAATATGAGGTGTGTCTGTCCGCAGGTGTATTCCTTCCCGTTGGTCTGGTGTTACAGCCATGGATGGGCTCTGCTGCGATGGCGCTGTCATCAGTCTCTGTGGTTTTGTCCTCTCTTCTACTCAAATGGTAATGAGATATTAAATGTTTTGTTGAGGCCTTTTTATCTGTGCTTTTTTCCCACTTTGAGTATATTACTCTAAAACCAATTTTCCAATAACCTTCAGTATTCATCTCTCTTTCTCCCTGTGCCTTTTATTAGTTACACTAAGCCCAGTGCTGAGAAGTTGGAGGCCAGACTGGGTAACTGCAGGCGGCAAGGCAGCCTGTCCGACGTCAGCGTTCACATCGGCATGGGCGAGATGCGTCGTCCTTCCCCCAGACTCAGCCTGTTGGACCGCTTTGTCAACTACAGCCGTGCCTCCATCAACTCCCTGCGCTCTGACAAGCACTCACTCAACAGCTTGGTACTCAGTGAGCCCGACAAACACTCACTGCTGGTGGGGGAGGCGCTGTGTGAGGAGGAACTGTGCTGAATACGTACAGCTCACACAGGCCAGCGACCATTTTCAGAGTTGAAGTAGAAAGTAGCTACGTGTGTTCGAGGCTAGGCCATGCTAAGCTGAAAGGGTTACATTCAATAACAGCCTATCCTTCTGTTGTAGGTGCCTCGGGGCAGCACTGCTGACTTGAAAAAAAGCTTACATGCCCCTTGTTTTCTTTCAACCAGCTGATCACATGCACTTCAGAGCACATTGGGGTGGTTTTCCTCTCTTACAGTTGCAGACTTTTGTTGAGGTCACTGCCCTCGGGCACACTCTTTGAGCAACCCTTTCATCCTGTGACACTCTCTCTGTGCAGAAGCATGAAGCATCTAAAGCGCCTTGAAGCAGGTGTCCGCATCTAGGAAGCAGAGTGATGAGCAGCTCTGCCACTGTGCTTGTTTGCCAGTACAATCTTTAACATCTATCCAAAGAAATTTTAACAGTGGTGGCTCTTGTAAGAGTAGACACTACAGTTGTATTTTAACTAATGTTCCTTATATGGAAAATTATAACACTGCTGTATAATTATATATTGTATTTATATTACCTTTATTTATCTTTTTTTCATTATATATCGTGAAAATTGAAGCTGTTGAATCCAAATGCCAATTTTTAATTTTTAGTCTCTTTAAATGTGTAATTACTGAGTAAGGTAGGGCATAAAACTCGGCAATCAAAAGAAGTATTGCAACTCGCTACAAACTGATTTTTGTGCAGAATGCTAACGGAGTGAGTTGTAAAGGTCAGTGTTTCCCAAGTGCCAATCAAAATGCCACCTTGGCAAAGTACAACACATTCCAAAGATAGCACTGTACAGAGGTGACCTTGGACTTCAAGTGCGCAAAGTGTGAACAGAGATAAGGTCAATGACTCAGAGACCTGAAGAAGGTTGACTATGAATGTTGACGCCAACTATAGAGGACTCTTTTTTTCTTTAGTTGTGTCAACCCCTCTGCATCTTTGGTTTATCATAAAAGATGTCTGTCCGTGAATGCGAAGGTGTTTTGCTGTTAAACAGAAGTTGTTACATGGATGAGATGTTCTTGCATTACTTCATTTGCTTGTTGCAAAAGGAAGGTTTTGTGTTGTGAAGCAGTATGTTATGAAGAGGCCAAATTGTAATGGCTTTTGTGTTCTTTCACACTAGGAAAGATGTTACTGTTTCTAAGAATTACTTTCAGTGATAGAATGTTAAATTCTCAGCTTTTTCCATATGATTCACACTTCAAACCCAGGAGGAGCCGTAAACACAGCAGGATCAGCTCACTAAACACAGCTGTGTCCCAGCAGTTACACCAAACAAGTCACTGGGAGACGGATGATGAATTTAGCAGATTGTTTCATAAAGATCACATGTAAAATTGAGGTCAACTAGTAAATTTTGCAATTGATGCTTAGTTTTTTTTCTCGTTAAATTATTAAAGATTTTATTTGCATTACTATCTGCTGTATCAAATCAGGAGATAACCATTACAGTCCAGCTATTCCTTGCTTTTGTGTCTTAACCTCGCTAGTATTTCTCACTGATTATGAAAGAGCCATCAGTTTGTCCTCCCGCTGTCTCATGATGCATTATGTTCTGTAGCAGTCACAGCTTGCTGAGTGCAGTTATGCCAATCTGTTGTTTTTGTGCATTGCTTTGTAAAGACGTCCACAGGGCTTCATGTCTGTGTGCAGTCAAGTTAAGCAAGTCCATGTATGCTGTTTTTCATAGTTCTTGTGAACATTATGTGCCTTGGAATAAAACACCTTTCTAACGTCACTCGGCTGTGTCCAGTTTAAACCAGAAGATGGTGCTGTGGAGCCACCAGCTGCACCTAATCATGAGCAGATGCAAGATTTCATCAACTTTATTTCATCCAGTTAGTCTTAACATCACATCACCCCAGTGTACTTCAAAAACAGGCAAATACTATTTTTGCCATTCTTTTTAAAAAATATTCATTGTAATGAATGCAAAGTGTAAATGACTTATTCCTATTGAGTCAGTTTGTATCACTTTGGCTGTAGTGGCATTTGATTTGGTAGATTGAAGCTTGTGAACATTATACTTTATTAGGGAGTTAATTTAAAATTTTTGAACACAGATGAAGTAGTCATTAGAGGTTAAGGGAATAATAATCAGAAATAATGTCTACCAAAGGGCAACTTTAGTATTAATCACCTTTTCTTATACCCTCACTGATTGAAGGATGTACTGAAACACTTTGTGGTCAGGAAACTGAACAGGTTTAACAAGTTTTAAAAATGTGCAGCATTTGAAATCTGTCACAATATTGTGCTTTTCTGGACTAACACACTGCAAACGGCTGTAATCGGAAAATGCTACATTCAGTTACCTTTTAACACTATAATAACAAACTTCACTTCAAACCAGCTAGGGAACAGCTCCAACATATCTCTCTGGAAACAGACGATTAAAAATAAAGTTACTTATACAGCAATATATGTAAGTAGATTTACAGCATATTAAACATTAAACACCTTACAGAAATTACACCATGATGAGCAAAAGATGCAATGAAATCAAATCAACCTTCACAAGCGTGAGTTGTGATGCATTTGAATTTGAAATGTAAACATTAATAGGACCAAATGAGTCAAACACACACCGGATCCTTGATCTTTTTTTAAAGTTTCAAAAATGATTTGATAAATACTGCTTGTGAGTCCATCTTGTTAACCCTCATCCCCGTTTTTTGAAATGTTCAGTGGTACATCTGGCATGTCGTGCTGCACAGTCTCTCCAATATTGGCCTACAGTTCAACTTCACTCACACAACTTCACATAAAATACAGTCGCTGTAAATGTGGCACACAAATGCCCTCAACACAGCAGCCTTTTGGACGAACGCCATCTGATATCGAGCACAGTTTACCCCAACCGTGTGCAATCATATCAGATTATTGTCTGAATTCTAACTATTGCAGGACAAGTACAGAACTAAAGTTACCACATCAGAGTGCACCTGCTTTGTCAGCTCACTGGGAAAGAGCTGCTGCTGTGTGCCAATTTAACTGTATGCAATAACTCAGGTGTACATTTTACTCACTTTAAACAGAAAAATATAACAAAATACTAAGCAGGGGGTTGTAAATGATCGAAGATTTTAGCTCAAACTCACCACGCTGAGGTTAAAGTAATTCTGTATGATGCTCCATATTTCAAATACACAGATCCTTCTGTATATCATCCTTGCCTTGAAAAATACTATCTTAAGAAGGTTGTTTGGCATTTTTACCCAATACTGACATATCTATACATATCTGGCACAGAATCCAAATGTATATATAAATGCACTATAATAAAATAAACAATGTGATAAAACTGCCTCATAAACCTAAAATGTGTCACTTTGTGCAGTAATAATCAAACCTCTTAGGATGCTGCATTAAGGTACAGAAGATAGACAAGTCTGTAAGGCATGAATGATTTGTTGAAGTTTGGTGGCATCAAATACTGTGATCACAAAATCCTGGATTATTAGGGATTTGGTAGGTGAGCACTAGTGTGTTTTGCTGAAGTGATCATTAATAACACATTTTGGCACCACCGAGTGTAGCCTCGGTGTGACAGATACATTATTTTCTTTATTATTATGGGTTAAATCCCAATGAAGCTCATATGAGGAGTGGTTTGTTCATGTGTGTTTGGCAAGCAAAATAAATAGTATGAAACACTGATTATTAAGACATCAAATAGCACCGTGTTGGCCCATCAATGGTTGCCACCATCATAGCGTCACATTTTATAGGGTTGATCCCTGGAGAATTGTTTTCAGATTCATGATCAGATGTCAACGGGCCCCAAGGCTCACTGAATGTCACTCATTTAGCAAACAGAACTGATTTAAAGTGAACAACACTTTCAAGAATAGGAGGTCGTAATCATTAATGAGGTCTAAATGTGAGTACAGATTTGGCAAATGCATGAGGTCTTTGACTAATCAACGTCAAAATCTGATTAAAATCAATAATACTGCAGGTAAGAAATAAGCTGACTGCCAACCTCAGGTAGGAGAGTGTGAAAATGGTTTGGTTGCGACTTACGATCAACAAGTCACCAACTTTTAAAAAACACAGGCAACTGTACTGTATCTGTGATAAACACCATACTCCTTATCTGGCCCAGTCAGAGAAAATCTTCTTTAGCAGTTAAATGAACAATCACATAGACAAAAGCAAACATCTCGTTACAAAGAGACTGACAGAGAGGGAGGCCTCAGATAGCCATCTAAATGGTGGAAATGAGGAGACACAAACTTAACTTTGGCACACTGAATGAGGAGGGCTGGCAGAGAGGCGAGGACTGAGCCTGCAGCTGTGTTATGGCAGTGTTTGGATGGGGGTGAAGGGGGGGGCTGCACACTCATAGCCCTTTGTTGAAGTACACCCTCTCCACTCCTGGGTGCTTGGCCCGGATTTTCTCCTGCAGCTCCGGCTCCAATCGGTTGACTGACATAGAGCTGGATTGGGGGGGGGGGTGTAAAAATGCATAGGTTGATGGATCAAACACACTCACTGTAGGCGTATTATGCTACTTTTCAGGTAGAAAAGAATCATGAAAACTGAAAATATATTTAAATACAGAAAAGAAGAAGTCCTTTGGAAAGTTCCACTCACCTCTTCTGAGGGAACAATGCACAGCACAGTGGAGTGGCAAACACCAGGCTGAAAAAGAAACACAGATCTATGAAACAGTCAGAAAGAAGGCTGCATTGACTGCATGCCTGTACTGTATAAGACTAAGAGTCTACAGCCATGCTAGCAGGCCTGTAAGGCTGTAGCTAGGCACATTGTGGGGCTTTCAGCTAAATGCTATATCATATAACAAATCAATAAACTTCATCACATTGATACAAAAATCATTACAAAATCCAATTTTACAATGAAACACTCCTGCTCATTGATTTGCTGTGGTCATGTCATTTGAGCTGAACTATAGGAATGCTACACGTGATTTTAATTGGTCACTCTGAGGTCACAGGAGGCAAAGTGGAGCCAGGAAACACGTGGGATGATGTGTGGATCGTTTTTCAGAAGAAAACAGGACATGATCTGTGGCTTGTACTGGAAAATTGTGTAAAGAAATGTTGCCTCCTGCCTGCACCCAAACTCCCACTAAACCTGGCAGCAAATCACAGCAAGATGGGCTGAGAGAGCTTTGTGATATTATTTAGAGGAACCAATAAATCTTATGAGCACATTCCTCCTCAGATACTTCACAATAACTTGAACAGCAAAGTTTAAAGCAGCATAAATGTCAGGATTACTGACATTTCTGTAGTAATTTAAGAAATTAGGATGGAATTTCAACAGGAATTTCACAAGGCTGCTTATCGGGTGGACCATTTCTGACGACTCACCAGAATCCCACCAGGCTGACTTGAATAGGTGCACTCATCCATGGGAACCTCTGAAAAGACCAGGCAGAAACACGAATGAGGGGCACAAAAGCAGTGGTGAATTCCCGTACTAGAGCGGCCTCATGTCCTCAGTGCTTTTCATTCCTCTGATGTGTGATTATGAAAAAAAACCGAGTGGCAGACACAGCGTGGGACACAGGGTTCCCACCGTTTGACTTAAACCCTCATGCTATTAAATCTGTGATGATGAAGTTGGTGTTGAGGAGGACCTTGCAGCAGAGGCAGTCCTCTGTGCAGTCGTTTGTGACTTAAGGGATGCAACTGATTCAGAAATATGCCTACCTTCAGAAAGGCCTTTTTTTCCAAATGGTTCATTAAAAACGGGGGGATAGCTGAGAAGACACAAATAAAATATCACTATACATTTTCAACTAAAAACTGGTGGTTATAAACTTGTCTCTTTATTTTCCTTTTAATTAAACGATGCCACCAACTGCCAGTGGGGAGAGTTAACAAACCTCACGTCAGGATGAAACAATGATATTGGACTGATGAAATTGGACTGATGAAACAATGATATTCATACCCATTCCCGGAGAAGCCATGAGGATCCTGGAGACCACAACCTGAGAGATAGCCTGCTGTGCAGCTTTCGTCGACTCTCCTAACCTGTTGTCATTCTCATCTGTTATGGGAATGCCGTGTTGAAGTTCTCTGATGAAAAGGGGCAAAGCAAATTTAATCAGAAAGGAATCCAACTGACCTTTATCGTAGCCTCCTGAGAGGAATTGCCTTAAAATCTTTACTTTCACCATTAGTGTCTTCTCAAGGTCAAAGCCAGCCTGTATTGCAATTGCTTAAAAAACGATGATGCCATCATCCTGGTTACCTTTGTCTCATCAGTGGGATGTTGATACAGTTAGCAGCAGCTACAGCAGCAAATGGAACAAACCGTCCAATCAGGGGTGAGATGTGCTAGAGCAGGTGAGAGGAGGCGAGAGGAGGCATAAAAACAAGGGGGTAGAAATTAATCACTTGGCTCTGCTGTACCTTGATTGCACAACCAATTTAACCTTGCAGACTAGTGGAGGACAGAGGTTATTGCAGGTTCTATTTCAGATGTACATGTAGGCTTTTCTACCATAAATCAGGGTGTATAACACAAAGCCACCATATAAGCTGGCAGGAGCACAACCCTGAAAATAATATGGCTCCTTCCATTTTGTGCGTGGCTAGCATCATGTCAGCACACCCATGCGGCTGTGGTTGATACATTAAAATGAGATGTGTAATGGGGTTAGATGAACTGATACCTTTGTTAGTGCATTTAGTCCTAGAGCGGTAGCAACTGCCCCTGTGGTGGCAGACACATAAGCCGTGCCAAGCTGACTGCAAACAAGAGCGAGAGTCACCGGTCACATCGCGCAGGGGGAAATTTTTAAATAAAATTTTTTTAAAAACTGTCCACACAAAGACTGTTGAACTAAAAGGGTTAAAATAAGCCGGTGTCGGTGGCACAATAATGTCCGTCTCTTACCTGACTGTGATTGGAGCATCACCGCTCCTGTTGGTGTAATTGACTATTGCGTTGAAAGACTGATTGATCCACTGCCAGAGCAACACAGCTGGAGTTGTCCTGCAACATTGACAAGAGTGGAGTCATTAGCAAGACCAGTGTAGAGAGTCCGCAGAAGAAAAGATTGGATTGTATGTGCTTTGCTGTACATCTGAAGGTTGGACTGGATATGAATTGCTAGGCTTAAACAAATATTTGCCTTTCTAGATTTCCTTCATATTTTAAGCTGTTGGAATACTATTAGCCAAGGAACAAGTACTGGCTTCAGAGTTAGGCAGCAATAGTGTATAGAGATAAATCTATCAGTTTGAGTGTGACAGTCAAAGTCTGATAATGAAACTCTACAAGTTCTTACTTGTAAAAGGTCATCATGCATCCAGTGATCGTCATGTTCATTGGAACCTGCGCTGACATGCGGCCAATCAGGATCATCTTCTCCCCAGTGTCGGGATGAAAAGCAGAGTCAAAAACATATTTGGCCTTCCACAGTTCATCTTCTGTCAGTCCCGGAGTGACTATACCTTGCCTAGAAAGACAGTGAAGGTAACATTTAAAGCAAACTCATCTTATGACAGCACTGAATTTACATCCTGTTACTGGTGAACTTGCTACTGCTACAGCGGTCCTTGTACCTGTAGTCAGTGATGATTTTGTGTGCATGAGCTAGTTGTTCGTTGGTGAGGAGGATGTTCCTGGGGTCTGTGACAGTGAAGAAATGTTTAGCCCGACCTACAAATGTGCTTTGGTCCCACCGAGGCTCCTTGATGTTTATGGAAGTGGAAAGCTCTGCAGCCATATTTATCTGGAGAAAGAAAAAATGTTACAATAATCGTATCAGAGATTTGTCAGTGCACCAAAGTATGTAGGAATGATGATGATTGGCTGATTCTGCAGTAAATAAATTAAAGCAGGAATAGAAAACATGCTGAATTAAAGCACAAATTCTCCGTCCTGGTGCATTAATGTGTGATGGTTAGTTATCTAGAACAACTGTGTTTCATAACTGGGCCCTGCTCCAGCACTAACCCCAGGAGTTACAGCCTTTCAGTTTGTATTTTCTTTTGCAGACACCAGTCACTGAAGGAGGGAGCGTGAAAATAAAGCTCCTTTCTGAATTACCGTGCTGCTTATTCAGCATAATGTTTCTATGGTGATGGCTGACCTGACACAGGGGTTGTGAAACACTAAATTGCAAAGCCCTTTATGAGCACCCACCAATCCCCAAACTGTGGCTGAAAAGCAGCTCTTGGGCAGTAACAAAACCCTCCTGTGTGTACTGTGAACAGGTGATTATTTTTATCAATAAACTTACAAATTGTATTAGGGTTAATGAGAAAGGCAGGTTATGCAATATTTGAGTTTTATGGTTGGGACTAGTGAGTATGTCAATGAAACTGTATTCATTTTTTATTTCCTAATATAAAACCAGATCTGGCTGGCCTGCACTGGATGGACACTGCACTATCAAAAAAACACCAGCTTTGTGGATGCTGCATGCTCATTCTCCCCTGTGTGTAGGTCCATGTAACCCAGTCTGATCTGGTTTGTTCCATGCTGCACATGAACTACTGGCAGACACCAAAGTGCAGCAAGTCTAAGCAAGGACCTGCAGCAGCATGATGAAACTCCTCCTGAAATTGCACCAAAGATGGCTGCTGGATTGACAGGAAAACAGAAAAGTCTCTTTGTTTGCCCATGGCTGTGGCGCGCTGCCTCTTTAAATTATATTAAACTCCATAGGATTCTCACGAGATGACAACAAAACACCCCCTTTTCTGAACTCATCCAGTGAAAAACTAAATCACTGTATGAGCCCGAATAGAGGCTGAAGGGCACTTCCCCCAGTTAATAGCATTAATATGACGCTAAATCTCTGATGAATGATCACTGATGAGGGTAACAGAAGAGGACTGAACTTTGGACTGACACGGCCTTTGATCTATAAACCTTCAGCTGCTTCTGCCCTCACTCTCAACCAATCAAATGCGGCCTGCGTGGCAATTCACAATATCTCCTTCCAATCATTAAATATATAATTTAAACACTACACACTTCATCATTCCCATGGCAAATAGTTAACCTTCATCTGACATCTATTACACTGAGAATAGCTGCTTTCTGTCTGTGGTCGCAGGGCAAACCTGCTCTGTGAGTGGACACGGTGAATTGTTCCAACCCGACGTAGCCTAGACCAGTCAAATCTGGACGGTGACTGAAGGTGTTTCTGCATCTGAAAAAATGCGACTCAACCTTTACCAAACAATAAACACACGAGCACCATCGTTTTAAAACGACTAATGAGGCACCGGCATCTGTCCAGCCCGATAATTGTCCAGCTGTGCGCCCCAGATTCAACTAGTATCAGCCTGCCACATCCACACCTCCAGCGGGCTCCTCAAGGAGCCAAACGCCGAAGTCTCCACACTGCTCTTCTCTCTGTCGACGTCTTGATGGTCCCATTTAAAAACATAACATTACTCACTGCACTGTGGGCTCCGGCGGTCCGCAAGAGGTGTCCCTGAACGGCTGCAGCCAGCTAATTTTACATGCAGCAGCGTCAGCAGCGCCACACAGCGACACAGCGACACAGAGGCACATCCCCCAGCGTCCCTCACCGCGCTGACAAAATAAAAGCACTGCCTCAGAGCGGCAATTCACACTGGAGAAAGATTGGAGCCGTAGCCTAATTACTGTCTGAAAGCCAAAACTTTCAGAAAATGCATACAGATTATCTGCTATTTTAGGAAACAATAAAATAAGATCTTAGGTAAACATTTTAGGTGACAAATTAAGTTTCATTCCGCTTCATCCATTAAATTAGACTTTTATTTTTAGCAGCGGGCCAAACGCTACATCCGTCAATGCTCTGTCATTTTAACTACATTGACTCACAGACAGTAAATCATTAATTACTGGTAAAACTTTTGACTTACACACACACACACACACACACACGACTCTGTACGAAAGTGTCCCTTAAAACAAACCATTCTTGGGCTCATATAACGTTACAAATAAATAGACACAATTAAAAGCAATATGAGTCACTTAAGACTTGGGTGCTAAACAGCTCTTATCCCTTTCATGAGTCAAAATTATGGCATACTCTATACCTGCAGTAAAAATAGAATCAATTAAATTACCCAATTTCCTTCACACATTCACAGAAAGGATGATTATCCCCTTAGTGTTGCACATCGGCACAGCTTTTGGGTTTCGGTTCCATCTAGTGGTGACTGGTGAGATGAAATAATGCCACAAACTCTATCCGAAGGAAATAAATGACGAAGCAACTTCAGTGTTTATTTTGTATACCTGTGGCTGCAAAACATTAAGTAATATTTTTTATTTTTTATTTTTTATTTTTTTTTACAATTGATGTTATTTGTACTAATTTTAAATATTTAGATGACGTACATTAACTCCCATAAGAGACAGCAGAGCAGAAAGAGAGCTACTTACACTATAACAGGGTATAAAAAAGAACATATAGTCTGTTAGTGCCATGTGATAAAAATCAAATACAAAAGTGCAAAGAGAACAGATTTCCAACATCTAACCCTATTATCTCACTTCACAAAATAAACTGTTGCGCTTCAGTTACAAAAAGAAAAGAGTTCACATTATATTTACTGCAACTTTTGATTTGAGGCCATGCCAAGTGAAAGATGCAGCCTTACATACTGTACATGGCAACACTCTGGTCATCATTAATACCCTAAACACAAAGATTACTTACATTTAGTCATTATTCTCAGCATTAGTTCCCTCATGTTTCCTGACAAACCAGCAGGTATTGTGACGGTAATGTTCATAGCAATCATTTATAGCATTAAAAACATCATGCACAGAAAGGAAAAAGTTGAAAGGATATTGGTCTTTAGCGAGATGTGATAGTTTGCATTTCGTTTTGTGATTATGGCACACATTTATTTTTTTGGTCCATGGGGTTATGAATGCTTCAGTGTAGATTCTCGCCATCCACACCAATGGATCCTTACAGGAAATAGTCCGGTGTACGCCGTGTCACGTGGGGCTCTCCTCTGCGTGGTGCAGGGTCGAACTGTAGGCTAAAGCAAACAAAGGGCACCATCTCACATTTAGAGATTTTTTTTTTAATAATTAAAGTCCACAGTTCATCTTAGAAAACTTTACTTACAAGGAGTATTTCAATGTGTCATCAAGCTCCATGATTGCTGCTTGGTTTCCACAACGATAACAATAGTTTGGTGCACTGAAGATCGTCACAACATTGCGGTCGTGGCACCAATTGTAACCCTAGATCAAAAATTACTTTGTTACCCATTTCAAATTCATGTAATGCTCATCACATCTGCATCTGCAGTGTCTACAAGGAAAAAATATAATTACTTTCAGTAATAAACAAAGTTCAAAGTACCTCCATCACCAGCTGGTGGGCTCTTGAAACCAAAGTTAGGCCGTTTGCATGGTTGAAAGTCTCTGAAATGTCCTGTCCAAAGGTGTAACCAGCACCACGGGGTGAGATGCCCCAGCCACCACGGTCATCTGGGTCTGACCATAACAAGTCACACATTGGACCCTGAAACATGGAAGAAGTTGTTTAGCCTGTTGAAAGTTTTGGGAGAATGTAAGACTTTGTTAGGGCTGCAACAACAAAAATGTTTGTTATCAATTAATCTGCTGATAATTTTCTTGATTTATCACTCGCTCCATAAATTGTCAGAAAATTCTGAAAAACAATTCAAAATCAAAAGTTCATTTTACTCATAGAAGACTATGAAAACCAAAATAATTTAAGCCTATTCCAGAACCCATGAATTGAATAAATTATTGCAGATGATTTTCTATGGATAGACTCATTTATTTATTTACTATTGAAGATCATTTCAGCTCTAAACTTTATAATGAAATCTGATGAATGTGCATGTATAGAAATTACAATTGTAAACTTGCAGAATCATACTCCATACCATAAATGTTTTAACATCCTTATGTTATGACAGTAAATTACAGAATAATTGCTCATCTAGATGGACCTTCAGAAGTTCCTCTAATGTCAAATGTGTAGAATTTACATGGACTGAATTTACCTCATGGGGAACCTCCTGCAGGCGATCCAGCGCTCTGATGTGTTCCAGTGTGTCTATTGAAGGGGACAATCCTCCATGGAGGCAGAAAATCTCACAGAAGAAAGAGAAAATTAATATGTCTCTTTATCTGCGCTTTGTGTCATATGCCCCATCTAAATACACAACCTTACCTGGTTATCTACCAGTGCGGTAAGGGGCAGATAGTCAAACAGATCTGTGAAGTACTTCCAAACATTGGCGTTTCCATATTTCCTTAAGCACTCGTCGTAGAAGCCGTACACTTGTGTGATCTGTCTGCTCTCGTGGTTCCCTCTGAGAATTGTGATTCGTTCACGGAACCTTACCTACAAGGAAAAAACGCATTTAGAAACAAACTGCAAGAATAATCAGTCATGAGCATTTTCCTTCCCCCAACTCCAAATTCATATCCCAGTTGTAGCATCAGTGGCAAGTGTCCTTTTTTTTTACCTTAAGAGAAACCAGGAGACTAACAGTCTCCACAGAATAGTAGCCTCTGTCAACATAGTCTCCCATGAAGAGGTAGTTAGTGTCTGGAGACTTCCCCCCGATCTTAAACAGCTCCATTAGGTCATGAAACTGACCGTGGACATCCCCGCAGACTGTCACGGGACATCTCACCTCCTGCACATTGGACTCCTTTGTCAGGATTTCCTTGGCCTTAAAAAGGAAGACCAAGAACACACAGGATGATGCTGACTAATAGGTAACAGAGTGTGATGCAGTGTAGGAGTGCACAGTGGACATGTGTTGTTCTCTTTTAACAAGTATTATCAAAGCCACCGAGACACAGAATACTCATAATTTTTCGGATTGTGAAGGATGCAGCAGATTATTGTACTGTTTGCTTTGGTAGTGCCAGTGCACTCCAGTGGTGAAGAGGTACCAAGAGTGGGCGTAGCTAGGGAAAACGTTCACAGGCATCTCCCTCCATCTTCTTGGCTAGCGGCTTCCCTTAGCAATGTACTGCACGCAGCTGCAGCCAAATGGTGTGCGCTCCAAACAAGGCCACATGCATTTAGCAGTGTTCCAATCAACGCTTCTGCTAAATCTAAAACAGTGCAGGAGATGTGACAGTTAACGGTCCCCTAGCAGAAAGCTAACAGCTCGCCTGCCTTCCTGCGCAAACCTTACCTTTTCACACAGGACTTTGACCTGATTCTCTGATAGCTGTTTGCACTCATTCAGTTGTTCAATCCATCCGTCCAACTCCTTGGTGAATGACTTGTCGTCCATGCCTGGTTTGCCGTCAGCTAGCGAGCCGACCAGCTTTAAAATGCGCCAGGAAAACCTCTCGCTATTTCGCTGTTGACGTTTTGGTGGCCGGGCTAAGGTCCTAGCAAGCCTCTCTGGTCATTCGCAGCTTGTATGTGCGTGTGCTTGCGTGTGTGTATGTATGTGTGTGTGCTCCGCGATAACGAATGCGTCAACTGCCCTGCGTCCCTGCAGCCCGGTGGGGACTAAAGTGTTTAGTTCACATGATACATAAATTAACTTCTCCTTGTTAAACGACCAAGGTCACACAGTTATCCATCAATGTCGCAAAGACTATAAAACTAGCAGACCCAACCCTGCCAACTGTTGTCCAAAGCGAGACGGAGCAACAAATCATGGATATACTACGTCATAGCATCCCTGATGGGCCCTTTAAGAGGGGTTTAAAAAGAGGTATGGTTCATTTGTCCGTTCCGGTGGTTTTATAGTACCGGTATATTATATATAAATATAATGTGTTTATTTTTATTTTACATCCGCTTACAGATGTTGTGTTTTCCAGAAGTCGGGATTGCTGTTAAATCTGTCCTCTGCTGGACGAAACCGGGAACAGGCAGGACCAACGGCTAACCAACAGTTAGTTAAGAAGTTCCCAACAGCTCAGATAAAATATGTAACAGCTGGTGTAACCTTTGATAAGATGTGTTTAGCCAGCCTTTTAACCATTTAACACATCTATTAATACCGCGTTAAAGACACTGGGATAGATACTAGTCAGATAGCTCTCAGCCTGCTAGTTATGTTTATTTTACTTTAGTTGTTTAAATATTGCTAAATGGCCTAATGGTACCACAATACGTGTAACAAAATAAGTTACCTAATGGTATAGTCTATGGGTACCACACAATAATATTTATTTCAACTAAGTGCAAATACATTCAGTAAGAATGTTTTTGCATCCCTGACCAGCTGTCATCAGCTCCAGTGAATTGTAGCCAGTCATACCTAAGTGGTCCCTAAACCCAGCTACTAAATAACAGTGTTTTTTGTGTTTGTTTCACACTGAACACCAATACATTTCAGGACTAGCCCACCACTAGGGCTGAACGATTTTGAAAAAATATCTTATTACAATTGCGATATGATTTGCAGTGTTAGGGGGAATGAACATTTTTATATCATCAAAAGAAATTAGGGTGTGATTTTTGCAGGGATTTGTACCAAACAAGAGATGTTTGTCTCTAGAATATGATGTGTATGCCAGAATATCTCTGCAGATACCAGTATTTCATTTAAAATGGTACTTTGACACACACATCACCGTTAACAAATATTGAGCCTACAGTGATTTGAAAATTGCAGTAGACCATATTGCGATTTCAATAAAATGTCAATTAATGAAGTTTTAAATGGTTTCATTGAGTTTTATTTTAAGTAGTTTCAAATCGTGTGAACACTGTTGCTATTATTATCTTGTAACCAGCCTAGTTGATTTGAAGCACAGACATTGCAAAAAGTAGAATACACACTCTGGTCTTTGCTCCCATGGTGTTTTTACTGATATATTTTTATTGTGCAACACATTTTGATCAATCACATCTTCATCAGGATGTCTGTAAAGATTCTCAGTCATCCAGGTCATAGTTATCCAAAGAAGTTAAAGTCAAGGGAAACTGAACATCTTCAACCAAGTCCAGTTGCCCTTGACTTTAACCTTCTTTGGATATCTTCATCAGGAAAAACAGCACTCTTGAATCTCATATTTTATATTCATATCTCAAAATGATGGCAGTCTGCAACAGGTGCCCAAACTGAAAAGCCTTTGGCTGAAACCCAAAAAACGTTTTCTGAAGGCATTTTTATGGTTTACTTGAGTTAACCAATGGATTTCAAGTTCACTTGCACAACCAGTAGGTACTAAATTGCGCTTTAAAATAAAATTGATATTATCAAGTTGATTGCGTGAGCAATGTACAATCCTGAGTCAAATTCCTCGTATGTGTACACCTGGCAAATAAAGCTGATTCTGATTCTTATTGATATACCATGCATTTTCCCTACCTGTCAGACTGTGCTACCCTCGAAAGACTACATTACCCACAGTCAGACTCCTCCTTCTCAAATGCACATGCGCAGTCATTTCTTCTACTCTGGACAGCTGTAGGAGAAAATGGCAGCACTCATGCTAGGACAGCAGGTAAGACATTCAATGATTTTAGTAATTTGAGTCATTTCACGGTAGTTCTGACTGATTTTTATATAACCTAAAAACACCTCTTAAGTATTGTATTTCTTCTGGAGACCAGGAGGCAACGCTGAATGTCCAACAAATTCTCACGCGGCATTGCACTTGAATGACTGCTAACGTGTTAGCCTACAAGCTAGCTGTCTTAACGTAAATGGTACAAAGAGTGCCAAAAGTTCACCAGCACAAGTTCTAGTTTCTCTGTGTTGAGAACTTTCATTTCTTTTCATTTCCAGGTCCGCCAGTTCAGCACGTCTGTGATCAGACCTGCATCAAAACTGATCAAGGTAAATAACGTCAGACTGCACGAAGCGTAACCTGTGGTTAAAACGTCAGTGTTACAGAAATGGTTAGTGGTTGCAATTTTAGTTCATATCTGTGTATGTGTCCTTGTAGCCTCCCATCCAGGTCTATGGAGTAGAGGGCCGCTATGCCACTGCACTGTTCTCAGCTGCCAGTAAGCAGAGCAAACTGGACCAAGTGGAGCAGGAACTCGGCAAAGTTACAGTAAGTCAAAAATAAATGTGTATATCTGAGAAATGAAGCATTGGAATAATGCTAATCCATGCAGTTTCAGCAAAATCTACTGTGTCTTTTGTTTTTCAGACCCTGCTGAAGGACTCCAAGCTTTCCAGTGTTGTAATGAATCCTCATATAAAGCGCAGCATCAAGCAGAAGACTTTCAATGATGTTCTTGCGAAGGCTAAGCTTTCACCCATCACCATCAACCTCATCAGTGAGTGGCTAAAGTGTGATTTATACTTCTGCGTCAAATCTACGGCGTAGCCTATATGGTCTAACCTAAGTGGTCCCATTACTGCTATAAGTTTGGCCTCTGCCTTTGCACGGCAGTATCTTAATCAGAGCTAAGTAGACCATAGTAGGCTCTGTGAGTGTAGTGTTCATACGTGTCATTGTTAAACCAAAATAAGATTGAGCCTATCCGGTTAGGTCGGTAGAGGTTACAGGTATTTGAAGTTAATCAAAGTATTTCTCACTAATGCTAATAAACATGGTTAAGAATAAAAGGATGCTCGTCCACCACCACACACCAGATACGATACAAATGCTTAATTGTTGTGCTACAAAGTAGTCATAGTGAAGAACACATTTCTGTTACTGAAGGTCTTAATGTCTTTCTTGGGTTCCTGTGACCTCTGGATGACCAAAGGAGGTCACAGGGAGCTAAGGATTGTCAGATGTCCTGTCTACACTAATGTCATGCAGATGGTTGGCATTTTATATATGTGGTCTTCTTACAATTTGTAAACATGTTGCGTAAGATTTTCAATTAAGCGAGAGAACTATAATTGTATAAAAACATGTCCTAAAATACAAATTTTAAAAATGGCTATTCAACTCACCAATTGTAAGCTCCACAAAAGATTTCCCACAGCAGCATTACTCCACAGACCCATAGGGGCACTACAGTATATTGATATTGATCATGGTGTAAATAAAATTGAGCATATGTTTCTAAATTTGATATTTAAGAGAAAATATATAGCAGGACCAGTTAGATGAAATCAGTGTCTATTTATTTTGAACTTATATATTACAATATTATTGCTGCACACCGTTTTCTCACCGTATAGGCTTGCTGCGGTAGTTGGTGTCACACAATGTTTGGACACCGATTACATTACTTGGCCACCGCCCCCAACTTTTTTTTGCTTCTTTAAAAAAAATCAAACTTATTTAGTTCATTTTTGCTTATCAGTGCCTGCTTTCATCAACTTAAAAAAAATAAATAAATTGTAAAATACTTACTGTGTTATCAATACTTCAGACGCTACCGTTATAATTAGAAAATGCCTGCTCCGTGCAGCAGAATGTCAGCACAGTAGCAGAAGTAAGATTTCATTTGTCACATGATGAGTTGACTGACAAGACGATGGCAGAGGATTTCAAAACAAAAAGCAAAAGGGCCTATTTTGCCACCAAAATGATCAGATCAAAGTAAGCACTCTACAGATACCTTTTCTTGTAAAACCGGTGTAATCAGTAACACTAGCGTCGCCATGATTTCATTAACGCTGAGAAAATGTCCTCACCATGGAATCCCCATCCCTGTATAGTTTTCTCAGCTCAAGGCTGTCAATTGGTAATGCAGAGGAACAGAAAAGTGACTATCGCTTAAATGAATCCCGCATTTTCTGTTTCAGATGTTTTGGCTGATAATGGTCGTCTTACTCTAACTGGTGATGTTATCAATGCTTTTGGCAAGATGATGAGTGCACACCGCGGCGAGGTCATCTGCTCCGTCACTACTGCTCAGGTATGATATGTGGTAGAGATGCATTATACAGTGCATCCGGAAAGTATTCACAGCACTTAACTTTTTCCACATTTTGTTATGTTATAGCCTTATTCCAAAATTTATGAAATTCATTATTTTCCTCAAAATTCTACAATCAAGACCCCATAATGAAATGGGTGAATATATGTGTGTTCCTGCACATCCTTGTTGAATCCCACACTTCAAAACTGGTCACCTAAAATAAACAGGCTGTATTATGTATCAGTCATTAAAAACAATTAAATGCATTCTTTTTACTGTAAATATGTTGTACAATCAACCAACGCATATTTATCCATTTCAGCCCTTGGATGCAGCTAATCTTTCTGAACTGAAGGTAGCTCTCAATGGCTTTCTTCAGAAGGGTGAAACTATCAAGCTGGAAACAAAGGTACAGTGTCCATGCAGTCCAGTCTGCCGCCAATTTACTGAATCAGCAGTAATGTAATCATTTTGAGATCCCTTTGACTGTTGTCTCCTCTTCGCAGTCCGATCCTTCAATCCTGGGTGGCATGATTGTCAGTATTGGAGACAAGTATGTGGACATGTCCACCAAAACAAAGATTCAGAAGCTGACCAAGCTCATGAGGGAAACTTAAGTCCTGTGGACTTAATTTTGCAAAAGATTGGAGGCGACCTTCAGGAGAAACGCTGATAAATGTATATTGCTACCTGTTCCAGCACTGCAGTTGCTCCATAAATCCAGTGTCTGTGCTTGGGTTCATATGGATGTTAATAAAACCTACAAAAAAAATGGAGACTGGTCTTTGTTGTCATTGTTTGTTGGTGTTATGACACTTGAATGCTCCTAACAATGACCAGGGTTAATGATCTTGACTTTTGGTTTAGTTACTAAGTAGGGGTATTGGAAATTGTAGACTATGTAGCAATTGTGTAGTTGTAGACAATTTATAGGCTTGGTTACATTGTAACTGAACGCTGCCGTTTTGCTATTACGATACCTCTTTGTTCAATATGGTCTTAATTTGGCAGAACCACATTGGGTGACACTGATCTGTTCCTGCGTTTCCTGGAAGCCTACGTGCGCATGCGCGGTCATCGCATCCTGTTTTATTAAATTTTTTCCAGGCGAAAATGGCTGCCTCTCTCATCTAAACCTCTACCCTAAAGGATTAAATGAACATGAAATAGGCAGCAGAAATCCCAGTCTCGCTTCAAGACAACACTGATGGACGCCAGGGCGTAGTGTGTGCAGGGCCTTCACAAAGATGTTGTGGCTGCCAGAGAAGGAAAATGTATGCGATTCAAAATTAACCCTTTCCAGTCCAACACCCACCGAAAAATAAGGTACGAAATACTCATTTTGCGTTCTTAAAATAGTTTAGCGTTTTCAGGGGTAAACATTAACGTTTAGTTTTATGCATGCCATCTTTTTTTAATGCAAACTACTACTGTAGTTTACTCGCTTTGTCTTGACATCACTTGTGTTTGTGTAGCAACGCTAAAAGGCCTGTTTGCTCACTAAAAGAGTGTGTGTGTGTGTGTGTGTGTGTGTGTGTGCGCGCGCGCGCGCATACGCCTGCGTGGGTATCAATAGGTTGTTGGTCCATTTGTAGAGCGCTGTTTTTATTGTTTTATTATTCCTTTCAACTGCTGCCCAGCAGCTACAGATGAAAATTAGCTCGTGGCCTAGCTAAATCCGGTACAAAGCTGTGCCTTTATTAAGAGGAATGTATTGTTGAACATGGTCTCAGATCTGTAATAAACTAAACTAAAAGGTAAGCTACAAAATTGCTTCTTTGTGTTAGTGTTTGTCCGTGTATACGTGAAGCTTTCCAATCTAATATTTATGTTTCTCTACACTCCAACAGAAGATGATGCATCAAGTGACCAGTAGCAACAGTGACTATTGTATGAGTGGCCTGGCAGAGGACTGCCATCCAGCCAGCCACTTTGATTTATGTAGCTCACAATCCAACAAATTCTACCCCTCTCAGACAACCCCTGGTTTGCAGCTGTCCCTTGCAGGCTTAGCCCCTTTGCCCCAGGGCATGCACAAAGCCATGGCATGTCAAATGCAAGACACCCAGAATGACTTCCAGCCTCAGACGGTAAGGATCAGGGGCAGTGAGGCTGCAGGGCCCGATGGGTCTAAGAAGAAGAAGGGCAATGGAAAGTCAGGGAGGAGAGGGAGGCCATCGGGGACCACAAAGTCAGCTGGGTACCGTACAAGTACAGGACGTCCACTTGGTACAACTAGAGCTGCTGGGTTCAAAACCAGTCCTGGGAGGCCCCTTGGTACCACCAAAGCAGCAGGTTATAAGGTCAGCCCCGGCAGGCCCCCCGGCAGCATCAAGAGTCTAGCTCGGCTCAAGAACCTTGAGTTTGGTTGTGACGGCGCCAAGAAAATTGACTTTAGCAACTGCAGTGTTCCCAAGAAATTAGACTTCACTAGCTGTGATGTTCCAGCTTTTCCATATGCCATGATGGAGAAAAGACCCCTCTGTGAGCCCAGTGGAAAAGTGGATGAAACCAGTGAATAGCTCTGAGGATTTCTCTCCAGTGCTCCAGTCCAGAAAAACATTTGAGTGCATGAGCAAGAAGATGCTTTGAAAAACATTTCTCTCAAATGTTAGGCGAGGACTTTTTGTCATATAGAAATGGCTCTGACTGACTTCTCAATGTGCAGTGTTTGACATCGTCTTCATCCTCTCATAATAAACAAATTTCAAGTATGTTATTCCAGTTTGGCAGAGATGCATGCATATGAATTAATCACACCAATCAGTATAGGTAAAACATGTATTTATAAGTTTGTGGTTCAAAACTCACTAGAGAGTGGATCTTTCTTCCCCTCAAGCATTTTGTTCCTCTGAATTGTGACATGTTCTCCTACTCTTCTTTAATATTTATATGGCTGGGTTCTTGTGACATTTTCTACATTTTTAAAAAATTGCATTTTAGTACAAACAGCCAATCGAATTAGTATTTTCCTGAGCATAAATATGTGGATGTGTAGTTGTCATTTCTGTGTTGTCCAGTTCAATATTTGTTTTATTTTGTGATATCCTGCATCATGCCTAAAATGGGGAACACTGCAATACATTTTTAAGTAGCTCAAACTGGACAAACTCAATGCATAATATCCTTTTTGGACACAGTATTTTTTTCCTGAACTTTGTGACTATAGTTTTGAGTATGTATTGGAACAGCCTGTTTTTGTCCCCAAACTCACTTGATAAGCACTTCCAGACTTACATGTATGTTGTTATTGCTGTTGATTAGGGGAAAATGACTTAATTAAACAGAAAAAATTGCTTTGTGGATAATGTAATAAATGCAAATGTGCTGTATGTGAAACCAAAATAAAAGAAAGAAATTGTCTTTTCCATGCAGTTGTGCAGAGCTGTTTCCTGTCAAATCGAAAGCATGTGATTCTCCCTGTAGACACAAGGGGGCCCGTGTCCCCAGACAATAGTAATCACCTTGTAAGAATACCTTTATTTACCCCTTGTTAAATGAAATTTCGGCGTACTGACAGTCGTTGTCATACTTTTTAGACGTGGTCTTACACGGTGTGATAGCAGACATGGTTAAAAATACCAATAAAGTGTCATGTTCTAATGTAAACGCTATACAGCTGGTCTATTAGGGTGACTGAAAAAGATACTTCTCGAATCTATCTGGTGTTTCAACTGGATCATTTACCAAAAAGGTTAGAGACAAACTACCTACAGATCTGAGCCAACAACCCTGATAGTTTTTTATTTATTTTAAATGCACAGAGAGGTAAGTTTCTTTGCTGTCAAGTCGGCATGTAAATGGGTGGTCTTTGTTTGATCTTCAAGAACTGGCCCACTGCGGCGAGCCCATTGTGCCCTCTTAAGTTTGCGTGTTTATGAATTCATTTGATTTAGGATACGCGCACCAAATCCTCATTAGTGTTGTGTCAGGGAAAACTGGAGGAAGACCACTGTTTTTTTTTTTTAAATCGTAGCAAACCCGTTTTTTTGTGCCCGCTTAAACAGCCACACTGACACCTTCTTCTCGTTTTCCTGAGCGCCTAGCGGCCTGTTTCTTCATGTCAGAGGACTGTGTGGAGAGGCAACATGGCGCACGGAGTTTGGTTTGACCGGAGAGGCCGTGTGGCTGTTTGCGCATTGCAATCATTTTGTTTTCTCGATCTCCCTGCGCTACACACAGACACACAGGCCTACACTAGTCAGTAGGAACATGCTCAGAAACAATGGGACATGCGCGCAGAAATGGGGCACATTTCTAAAATAGGTCAACCATTCGTTTGTGATTTTTATAGCTGTTGTTTTATACCATTGACTTAGAAACTTCACCTAGATGTACATGCGCACACGCGTGCATGTGTTTGGAGGGTGAGTGTCACGGCCCTCTGCAGACGGGGGGGTTGGGTAGCAGTGCCGATTGGTTGCTGGCTCACCAACACAGTCAGCCTGGGCTTGTTTTAACATAACCGGGGGCACTTCGACAGCAGGCAAAAATCATGTAGTAAATAAGCTGCTGTGGCTGTTAGGGGACCGGTTAAGGCACACTGAATTTCGCCGCTGTATGATGTTGCAGCGTAATGGAGATTTACTAGTTATTTTGTATGTAAGGTGACAGTTTTTAGGGGGCCGCCGCTGATGAGGCGATGAAGTGCAGAGAATGAGAGCTGTGCCTTGGCCTACTACTAGTGCTGCTGCAGCTGGGATTGTGCAGATCCGCTTTCAGAAACCGAGAAAAATACTCGCCTGGTGCCACATTATCAAACATCCGCTGTTGGTTTCACGGTGACCGACCTCCAAATGGTGAGTTTATCGCGTTTTTCCACGTGTTGATAGTGCTGTGAACTTAGTCCCGATCAGCCTTTTTTGTGAGTTAATAGTAGCTTCCTATGTCGGTGTGTGGCTGTAGCTTGTTTGTGTGAGCCACTCAATGTGTTTCTGTGATGGCTCAGTGTCACCACCTCTGCTACAGCCTCAGCGCTCCTCCACTGACTGTAGCCTACTAGTCAGCGATCGTCATGACCCACAACCATCAGACAAAGCGGTACCATATTCTGATAAGTTTGTGAATGAAATGTGTAGACGCAGCGGGCCAGCGGTTGTGTTCTGTGTTTTGTCTTGTGCTGTCCGACCGGCCTCTAGTATGGAGGCCATGCAATGTCGGCTTATTAGTGTGTGTGCGCGCATAGTCTGTGGCTGGTATGCTCCTTTATAGGTTTCTGCCTGACTCGATAAGATTGCCGCTCTATTTCCGCAATGTTTTCATAGCCAGCATGTTATGCTGTATTGTACAGTAGGCTATACAAGGCTAAATAAGGCCTACAGATTACAGTGAGGAACTTAAATGGCACATTTCCCTTATCTAACCTGCATCTTCTTTTATTTGACAGGATATAGCTGTGACAACATGAATCAATCATACAGACCGGCTGTTAGGGCAGACTCAGTGTTTGGCTCAAGCCAGTCAGAGCTGAGGCCCCGCAATGGTCTTGTGAGTACTTCCTATGGAAACCAGTGTGGCATAGTGAGGCGTGGGTCAGACCAACCATCAGCCGTGCAACTGCCATCCTCCAGCCTCAGACAGCCAGCTGTACTGGGGCACAACCAGCCAGACCAATCTCACTGCTACAGCCCGCTGAAGAGGCTGCAGGACCTGAACACTGTGGTCAACAGACCTGACATAGAGAGGGATCTCCATCCAGGGAACCACTTGCACTGTGCAAGCCCAATTAGTGATGACGATGATGATGAGTTTGAGGCACCGTCAGTCCAGCTGCCTCCTTCTCCAGGCAATGATGACATGGAGCCTTTGGAGACTCTGCAGGACATGAACAGAAACGGCTTCGCCCCTCACAGTCCTGATAGCTTGGAGGACTGCTCTCCCATCCCCAATGGCTTCCTGCATTTTGAGTCCACTCTGTTTGACAGCAGTGAGATTAAGGAGGAGGATGAGGAGAGGGAGCACAGTAGTAGTGAGGACCTAGCGCCTTTTCACCACTCACCAAAGTTGAGTAAGAACCTAAACGTTGCTGACAGTAAGACCACATGTAGCTCAGGGGTGGATAAAAGAACGTACAAACCTACTGTTTTTAATCTGATGTCCAAAACTATATCTGAACTCAACCCTACACTAAGCCCCAGCGCACTGCCAGAAATCACTATGAGAGATGGGTGGAGCTTTGGTGAGGAATCAGACAGTGATGGTGAACTTACCTCTCCTGTTGACCCTGGACTTATTTCACCAGCTGGCACCAACTCTAATGTGAGTCTGAAACACCTGGGATGCTTACTTTATAACCTCCGTACAACCAAAGCTATATAATGCTGTCAAAGTTTATGTTGGTTACTTATTTCCGTGGAGAAGGGAAAAAGGAATGCATGTGTCGAAATGATACTTGGGTGTAACTTTAATTTACCTGGACCACTTACCCCAATGCCAGCTGTAATCAAAATCACTTTTATCGGCCAGGTGTGTGTACACAGGAGGAATTTGACTCCGGTCTTACATTACTCTGTACATAAACAGAACAAGCATAAACAAACAGGACAACAAGCTCAACAAAAACAGACACAAACTACAGTGTACAGTACACACAAACATGAACAAAAACAGTGACAATGCCATACTAATTTAATGTTATTGATCATTCAGAAAGTAGTTGCACCATGGATATAGAGCAAAAGTTTTAAAATATGAACACAAAACATTTGGATTGGAATATGAAAGTAAATCATTCAAAAGAAATTACTCGGAATGTCAGTTCTATCTTGACAGGAATTTTGATTACTAATTTTATGGTGTACAGTATCACCTTTTTTCCTTCATTAGATATTAATGTATTTTGTGTATGTATTTATTGTTGTGGCTAGTCCAACAGCCCAAAGAAAAAGCCTCCTCCTGCTGTGAAATACTTGGAAGGAGACTTGGTGTGGGCTAAATTCAACAGACGGCCCTGGTGGCCCTGCCATGTCACCTGTGACCCAGATAAGGGGACCTACACTAAGATGAAAGGTGAGGTTTCATTCATAATGAAGGTGAGAGGGTTTAATTTGAATATGGATTTTATTATCAAATTGTTTCCCACAACTCAACATTTACCTGAGAACACAGGAATTATACTGTGTGCAAGGTAATTAATAAGTTGACCATCAATCTAATTTTGTGTCAGTTCCCAGTCCCCGTCCTTGTCGGATGTATTTCCTGGAGACGATTGGGGAGATTTTAGAAAGTGCCTGGGTCCCAGGGAATGCCATTCTTCCTTTTGAAGGAGGCCATCAGTTTGAAGGCCTACCTGTGCTTAGACGGAGAGGGAAGCAGAAGGAGAAAGACTACAAGTATACGGTAAATTCCCAAAATGACTGGAAAAATATCATATAATCTTACAGCGTATTATTTTGAATGTTATTTCTGTTCTTGGCAGATACCCAAAAGTTTACTGACTGCATGGAAAGTCAGTGTGGCAGAAGCTGAGTATCTGCTCCCAGATCGACAAAGGAATACTGAAAGCATGCTTTCAGTACCGGTCAATGGAGAGGAGCGTGTGCCCAGCCCTCTCCCTACTGAAAAGCCACAGGAGGCCCCCTCTTTCTCTGTGGACACTGGTCGACCTCCATCACCCAATATGGCCCCCAACGGAAATGAGCCCCGTCTCATCAAAAACTCTGCTGCAGTTCAATCCAGCAAAAGCAAAGCTTGTAAGAAGAAAAAGAAATGTTTGTCAGA